TTCATAAGTTTCATTCCAGGGCCGGCCTTGAAAAAATTCATAAGCAAGCTTCGAGTCGAAACAACACCCTGTATATAATAATAATAATAATAATAATAAATTGCCTTTATTGTTTTTGTAATGTTCATATTACAATACAAGTATAATGTTGAGAGGCGAAGTCTAGCTCACGCTATTCTAACTTAACCTCTATCCACAATAAAAAGGGACAATGGATTTCTTAAACATACATAGTGACTGAATCACATATATCACTTCTTGATTACATCAATATATTTTTAGTTTATATGCATGCCTGTGTATATATATAAATGATTATATATCTACACAGGGTGCCCCCCCCCTGATCTCATAAGCCATAACAAATAGATAAATTCATATAACATAAAGCAACCAATCCAGATGAGCTAATGACCATACTGCAAACTTAGAACCTGTTCTTCTACTAATTCATGCTTGTAATGATGTTTCAAGTAGCTCAATGATTGTGTTTTGTAACCATTTGACAATGAATTATATACATTAGCAGAATTAAATGAAAAGCTTCTGTGGAATCCAGACAGACGAAATCTAGGCAGCGATAGAGTAAATGCATTGCGAATATTTCGGTCGTGCATGTTAGCTCTGAATACCAACTTATCTTTCAGATATGGTGGCGTAGATGTTGACAATATTCGAAAAACCATGGCACTCATATGGTATTTGAATAAATTATCAATTCTTAACCAACCTAGTTCGTTAATTTTCGTCGACACTCTCTCATATTTTCGAAGATTGAAAACAAATCTACAACAGTAATTTTGGATCTTCTGTGACCTCTGTTTATTAACTTGATATAGACAGGGAAAGTATAATATTAAGCCATAATTCAAAATAGATAAAACTAAGGTTTCACAAAGTTTTTTCCTGAGCGCAAAGTTAAGAAACTGTCTATTTCTATATAATTGCCTGAGTACAAGGTACGATTTTTTAACTAAAAGTGAAACATGCTCTTCAAATCGCAATCTACAGTCGAATATAATTCCTAAATTCCTTTCACTTTGTGAAATTTTCAGTGGTTGATCTTGAATTATAAGCTGCATGTCTTTTGCTACATCTATGTTGTAATTTGGACTGAAAATCATGGTACTGCATTTCTTTGGATTAAGTTTGAGGTTGTGAGCACTGGAATAAGTTTGCAAGGACGAAAGATCACTATTGATACATTCAGCAGCATGAGCAGCAAATTTAGGGTCGAACGAGAAATACAGTTGAGTATCATCGGCAAATGATTGAATGTTCACATATTTTATTGATTTTTGAATGTCTGACACATATATTAAATAAAGTAATGGGCCCAAAACCGATCCTTGCGGCACACCTGATGTAACTGATGAGAATTCAGATGAAACCTCACCTATCACAACTTTCTGCATACGGCTATTTAAATAGTCGCGAAAAAACTTGCAAGAACTAGCATCAAAACCATAATATTCAAGTTTTGCGCATAAAAGTACATGATCAATATTGCTGGGAGAATACTTACAGGGCGCAGATCGCCAAAAGAGGTGGGATTAGCTATCTTGGGAAGTGGCTTAATAATAGAACGTCTCCATGATGCGGGGAAATATCCAGACAACAATTGATTACATGAGTTAAGTAAGGTGCTATAACTGGCAAACAAAATTTAAGCATTTTCGCGGAAATATTATCGCAACCTAACGCATTTGATTTCAAATCTATAACAATTTGTTTTATTTCCTCTATTGTTGCTTATTTGAAAGAAAATTGAATATCCGGGTTGAATTTATTCGATTTATAATAGTTAGTCATTTCAGGACAATTATTTTCCGAAGTAAAAACAGATGTAAAGTAGCTATTGATCTGATCGGGTTTTTGCAAGTCTACTGGTATTTCACTCACTGTTTTTCCTTTAATGTTCATTGAATCAAGTGTTTTCCAAAGTTTTTTGCTATTATTTTTTCTTTATAGAAAGGTTTTATAAGCTAATTTTTCTCTACGTATAGCACTAGTTATCGTGTTACGTAAATCTTTATAGTAAATATAATCTGCTGCACATTTGGTACGTTTATAGTTAGATAGCGCCTTGTCTCTGACTTTCATCATACTACGAATATTAAAAGTCAACCATGGAGCAAATGGTTTGGTGATTTTAGAAGTAACGTATGGAGCATGAACATCAAATAAATTAATAACATTGTTCGTAAAGTAATCAATCTTTTGATCAATGTCATTCAGATACAAAACATTATCCCACAAAATCATCGAAAGGTCGGTATTGAACTCACGGTTAAAAAAATTATTGTAGTTCCTGTACGTAATTAGTTTGGGTATATGGCGAGCATATGATAAATCCATAACACAAACTACACCAGAGTGGTCAGAAAAGTGATGCTCTATAGTACCTGAATTCAAAACTAAGTCGCTTTTGTTTGTGAAAATTACATCTAGAAGAGTCTGAGTATTATTAGTTATACGAGTGGGCTCCGTAATTATTTGCGAGAAATCATATGCTTCAATACATTGAACGACAGAATAGTTTGTCAATTGATCCACATTAATGTCCCCCATTACAATGATATTATCATATTGTGGTACGATGAAGGAAAATATATTATCTATATAATCTATAAAGTTGGACAAGCTACATGCGGCTGTCCTGTATACAACACCAACCAAGAATGCAGTTTTTCCTACCTTAACTGATACCCATAGATGTTCAATACCTAATTCACACTGAAAGTCTTCTAGAGAGACCGATGACTTGAATTGGTTCCGAACGTACATTCCTACACCACCACCTCTGCTACCGCGGTCCTTACGAATGAGATGAAACTCGGGAATATATAAACATTGATCACTTACCCTATCATCAAGCCAAGTTTCAGTCATACAAACAAGATCTAATTCATTTAGATGTATACAATCTACAAGCGAGTCAAATTTAGGAAAAAGTGAGCGCATGTTAAAGTGGGCTAACTTCAAGCTCTTATTCATATTGAATTCTATGCCGAAGGGCCTCAATTTTATTTGAGAAATACCAGCATTGTGAACTGTTTGCGACATGGTCTGTGGCAACATTTGTTTAAGTTTTTTCATTCATATTACTACAATTATTACAACACAACTGTGTTTCAGTACAAGATTTTCCTTCGTGTGGGCCTGAGCATTTTGGACAAACTATATACAGATTTTCCACGACAATCTTTTTGTTGATGACCTATCATGCAACATTTGGAACATTTCACTAAACTAAAATGCTCCTTGATATTACATTTAGACCAACCAACATAGAGATATTTAATAATCTCATTTTCATATATAGAGGAGCAGGAAAAAATAAGAAGGATTGAATGTATTTGATGTTTCCGCATACACCGTTTCAACCTATTAACTTGAGTCAAATCTAGAGGTTTCAATAATGAGGAGGCACAGAATTGAAAAAAAAATATATTTGTGGTCCCAAATGGTACTTCACCATTTATAATCCTGAAAATCATCAACTATTTTTTTGGCTTCGGATTTTTGGATCCCAACCTAATTGAAAACGGTAGGACATGTCCGTATTTGGGACAAATTATTATTATAAATGACTAACTTTTATGTGTGAGAGAATTATAATGTAATTGTCATAACATTTGTTCATTGTTCTACATTCAGAACAATAATTATGAAAATGTTGAACAATGCCCATTCCAAAAAAAGCATAACTCTACTTCAAACAAGAATGTCGTTGCAACAAATTGTATTGAGTAAAATTCATAGACATACAACATGTTCACAATTATCACATGTTTGTGTCATTGAAAAAGGAATGACTGTTATTGAAGAATAACTTAACAACACAAAACACAAGTAAAAAGTACAAACTCATCAACTTACGTCAAAATTGTATCCTAACATCAGTCATCTTGACAATTACAACGATTTGGGATATCAAACCCGAAGTGTACGAACAGACTGCCTTATTCAATTATCATTATCAAGAATGCATCAGAAGATTCAAGGAATGATCATTAGCTAGCTGAAAAATAAATCAAACGTGGATCAAGAAAAGTCGTTTTTTATTTTCTGCTATGTTCACCTTGGCTACGTTATTTTTGTTTGAAACGAAGTTATAATTTTTTCGGAATGGGCATTGTTCTTCGTTTTCATAATAATTGTTGATTTGAATGTAGTGCGATAAACAAATGTTATAATAATTCACTCACACAAACAGGGTATTCGAAGTTAGTAATTCAATAATGATACTTTTTTCCAAATACGGACTTTACCTCTAGTTTATTAATTGGGTTGGGATTCAAATTTTATGAAGATGAGAAATAGTTGATGGTTTTATCGATTAATAATGGAAAAGTGCAATTTGGGGACGACAAATTATTGTTTTTTTTAATTTTGTGCCACCTCATCATTGAAACCTCTAGATCTGACTCGACTTAATAGGTAAAAAAGTTGTATGCGGAAACATCAAATAAATAATTTCCGTCAAACTTATTTTTTTCTGATCATTCCAAATTTGTGAAAGAGATTTTAAAATATTTCGATTAGAAACCTACTCATTGATTCTTCCAAGGCCGGCCCTGGAATGAAACTTTTTTTATTATGTCAATCGTCACTACAGGGAACATAAAAACCAAACATCAAAAAATTGCAGAGGGTGGTTCATAAGTTATGATTAATTGAAGAAATGAGGAATAAATCACCCATATCTCGGTTATGAAGAAGGATAGATTCATGAAATATAAATTATGTTATTATTATGTCATGGAATGTTAAATCTTCTCAACTGAAATGCAATCAACTCACACCCATGTGCTGCCGATGAGAAGCTGCCGTAAGCATTGGGAAATATTGAATTCTTTCTCTTTTCATAAAATTACGTTTCAATATGTCAAGAGCTGCTTAAAGTTATATGCTTACTTACTATAAGAAAATATTCGAAATTTATCAGCGAGTACAATCATTGGAATAAAAATAATAAAATCGAATTATTGTTACAGATATTTGGGCGAAGTATTTCTCCGGATGCTGAAAGCTTTAATACTACCACTCATAATATCGTCTTTAGTATCAGCAATCGCCAGCTTGGATTTATCGCTTTCCAGGAAAATAGCATTCAGAGCTATAGCATACTATCTGACGACTACTTTCGCCGCCGTAGTGTTAGGGATCATCATGGTGGTTGCAATAAGACCGGGTGTAGGTCACACAGAGATGGCCACCAAACAAAGCGAAGACACTAGGAATGTTACGACGGTGGACACACTTCTAGATTTAGTGAGGTGTGTTGATCTATTCAAACTACTATAGATGGATATCAATCGATTTGATGAAATATTAGACTTCAAAGTAACAGATGATGAAGTTGCATTAGATAGTATTCACTAAACAAATAGGAAATGAAGAAGTAACTGAAGAAATTTTCATATCAGAATTTTTAGCTCTACTACAACTGAATATTATTTGACAAGTGATGATATATTGTCAAAGATACGTGTTATAACCATAATCGACCTGAGTTTATCAGAATTCACAACGATGTATCATTTGAGATCCTAAAATACACCCCCTTAGTTAAATGAAAAATATACAGGATACCGAATTTTTACAATTTTCATGGCTCACAATATCATGCTATCCAAAGAAGAGTTTCCTATATAAAACATAAAATTTGAGCCAATAAAAGTGAGGAACCCCTCCAACTTCCCCAAAACTTGGTTTACATCATTTTTGAAGCCATGAGAAAATGAATTGTCTATAGAAATGCCATTTTACAAAATATTCAATCCGTTATTTGAGTCAAAATTTTAGATAGTCTTTATTTTTTGCCGACATCTACAAAAAATCATTTTTTACGTCCTAATTTCCGAACGAAAAACCAACTAGTTCCGAAGGCCAATACTTTGGGTCCGCAGGCACTAACTTTTATTCCGCGAACACTTGAACACACTGAGATTTCAGTTGATATCCTGATTGATAGAACTTGATCGATCGATGTGATAATCTTCAAACTAATATTCATTTTTCTGTATATGTGATTGATTGACATGCAACCAAGTCGACCAAGCATGTGACTACTCATACCTACTTGAACTTGCATAATATATCCTTTTTCATTTCCAGAAACATGTTTCCACCAAATGTAATGGAGGCTTGTATATTCCAGGTATGTATATATATATATCTTCAAATGACACATATATTATTGATGGTGATTTCGATCAAGAATAAAAGTTCAATTTATTGAAGAAAAAACAAATCAAGGTAACGCTTTGACTGAGGAAAATAAGGTAATCAATGATGTGTGTTTCGGAATGATTCAACTGTATTTTCGACTATTCAGAACTCATCAAGTATATATAAACAATATTCATTGAACCAACTCATCATATTAATTTGTTTACTAGAATAGTGCATGATGAAAGTAATTCGTATATTTTTCATCTACACATTGAAATACATCATCAAGAACTCTGAATAACCTTCATAGATATCGGGCTGTCGGCAAATATATGGAAATCGTTTTGACCGGAAAACTCGCTTTCAATTTTTCTTCACATATTTATCTGTTTGTTTTAGACCCGCACAGACTTGACATCACCGTCTCCAAATGTGACAGGTAAATTTCAAATGTTTATACTTATATTTACTCACATATAGGTATGATACCACTTGCACCTGACACCGTTGACTTCATATAACAGAAGTTTTGATAATCCGAACTCAAGTTGTTTTACTAAAAGGATCATTACTCACTTTACAGTGGAAATGAATATATGTGTAGGTATTCAATAAGTCAGCAAAATTATAATTCTATACAAGTTAATAGGTGCTTGTATTCTTTTATATACAGAGGCACGATAATCCATATTTATAAAACACTCTGTAGTCCCTGCATATCAATTATTAAGACGGTTTTGTTAGAATCTATATAGTATTTTTTTAATCACCTTGTTGATCATAATATAAAGTTGACGTAGGTTTCCAATGAAAGATCCTGTATTATTTAGATAAACTAAGAAACATTCATATTATTGCAAGCGACATTAGATATATACACAGTAAAAAACCGCTTCGAGTGAAATCCGTAGAGTATGTTTTTAGAGTTGAAATACTCTGACAAACTTACTCTAATACTGCAATCAACTCTATTACTACACTTCTCGCAGATTATCTCCTTCGAAACTAATTCTAGATTGAATTTTCACTATTCTCGTATTGAATTCACTCTATATTCATGAAATTTCAATAAAATATCAATTCAGATAACTCGATCCACAAACAATTGAAATTGAATTCATACTAGTGTTTATTGACACTAGTGAACTCGGATATTCCTCTGTTGTCGATTAAATTGACACTCTATCATTGTTCAATTCAATCTATATACGATGAAATATCAATCTATACAGTTTCAGATCGTTCAGTCTACTAGATAGTGAAATAAGTGATACAGATTATAGTGTCGAAGATATAATGATCATGATATTAGCTTCAAGTAGCTTTTTTACTATACCCGCGTAGTGAGAAATTTTTTTCAACATTGAGTTATGAACGTATTTCCGTATACCTATCTCAGTTATTTTCCGTCTTTTCCGTTTCGAATTATTATTTCGAACGATTTATGAAACAGATATAGGTTAACTAAACGATTAAAATATTATAAAGTCACACTACTTCTCATCCGTCAATTCTCGCCACTGCATAAAGGTGGCGCTGCGGAGACTTCGCCGCTGAACGTCTGTCGGGGGCCTATAAATACTGTGACATGTGGAAGAATGGTTAATTCAACTTCGATGAAATCTCAACAGGAAGTAGTGACTAGTTTACTCAACTAGTGTACTATATCAATCTAAAATGATGAATAAATGATAACTCCTTATTAGCACCTGAACAAATAGTAGTGTTAATTTGAACAATGCAGGAGCAATTTGACATCCACGTAGAGTAAATAATTCAATCAATTTCCGGTGGATCCGACACTGTTCATAGTGTGGAATCTACTCTCTACTATTGTATTACAACTCTAAACTTTTGTGACTATGTAATATTCGGTTATTGAATTTCACTCTAGACTCTAGAGTGATGATATTGACACTAGCTTGGGTCTTGAGTGGAATATTCACTCTCGTAATTGTTTCTTTCAACTCTATTTTTGTGTTTATTCAATATATTTAGAGAAATAAATAGAGTAAGTTTCAATGTGCTTGCATTGAAAATTTACACTAATTGAATTGAAAAAATCACACTATAATATACTAAACTATAGAGTTAAATCATCTACTCTAAAGCATAGTGGTCTTCCTGGGAACAGGTATAGTGTTGAATTTCACTCTATTTTTTTTACTGTGTACTTGAAAGTGCAATATACAAGCTGTTATTCAGTATTTAATCTACTTTCGAGGGGTGATTTTCTAGGGATTCTAAGACGCAATGATCATGTAAACGAAGGTCCTAAAAATCAGTGTTCTCAAAATACATTCTGTAACTTACATTATGTATTTCCAGACGAATGTTCAATTGACCTGATGTTCGTTTCAGAATCACTCCATCCTGTATTTCAAAATTATTAATCAAATTTGAAAGTAGACAATAATTCATAACGATTTTCTCACACATTTCAGACGTATACAAATACAATATCAGCTTCGAAACAGTACAGAACACCAACATTCTAGGCCTTGTAGTGGTTGCTGCAGCGCTAGGTATAGCAATCGCCCAATTAGGCGAAGAAGCCCGTACAATGGCAAACTTTTTCCACAACCTGATGTCAGTCAGCATGAAGATTACATCGTGGGTGATCTTCCTATCACCAGTAGGAATATTTTTCCTTGTGGCGGCCCAGGTATTACAGATGGACGACATAGGTAAAATAATTTATAAGTAGCGAACGTTATTTCTACAGGACGAGTCATGATGAAGAAATAAACTATAAACTTTTTGATGTAGGAAAATGGCAGCGAAATTTCACGACGTCGATCCTGGATTCTCTTAATGATTATGAATATGTCAATCGATTGACAAGGAGTGGTATATGATTTCATGAGGGAATGAAACAAATCGCTATGTTGTCAAAATCCATAAGTATGTTATCAAAGGAGAAGAAACTCTCTTTGATGGTCATTTGATATTCAACCAAGGATCATCTGAACGTGGTCAGATTATGATGGATTATGTTTTGTCACTCATGATTTTATTATAAATTTAAAACCTGAACTGAACGGACAAGATGTTTCTTATACCTTGTACATGAGAGGTCATAACATTCCACCTATGGCTTGATGGAGAGATTGATAACTAGTTTTTGAACTAGAGAAATCAAATACTTTTGTTCCTGAAATAACCTCATAGCACAAGATATGAGTTGTGCTGTTGGAAAAATTTGAGAAAAATACTGGTCAAGCGGAATATATTGAAATAAAACAATGTTTTGATAAAAATGTTATTATCAATGTACCAAATCATGATAATTTCACAACAGCATCAATTGATTGATTGATTGATTGATTGATCGATTGATTGATTGATCGATTTTCTTATATGCTGGACCATTGTGAAGAAGGATTTTCCTTTTTCCTTCAGTGTTTTCATTTAGTGTCATTATCACCACATCATCAATTTTTAGGAAGTGTCATGAGCAGGCTAGGATTCTATTTCGGCACTGTATGTCTTGGATTAGCGGTCCAAGGATTCATCGTGTTACCGCTGCTATATGTGGCACTTACTAGGAAAAATCCATTCACGTTTATTTCAAATATGGGGGAAGCCATCGCTACAGCATTTGGAACTGCTTCAAGGTATGCTGCTATACACGTCATTTCGAAGATCATCGAAGATATAGAATATGTCTTATATACTGTTTCTGCCAAATTTGTTGATTATAACGAGCAGTAAGACAAATTACTGAGCCCTAAAAATATTATCGATGATTTTTTAAATTTTTTACGAAGACTTGTTCATTGACAAGAATATGAGACTAAAACGATTGATTGAATCACGAGTCCGTAGGACGAGCAGTTGAGTCTTTACTCTTTATGCATAATTTTGTTTCGATAATTCGATGTAGATTAGCGAGGACCATGCAGTGAAATCAGTATAGTACCGAATGATTGGCTAGAATTGGGTTTGCTTGAAACAACTACGAGAATGTCACATTTTGACATTCCGCGCAAAATAAAAAATAAAAAATGTATGCTTCGTCGTCAAGAATGAAGAGTCATCGCAGGTTAAATCCTCTCCTCATGAATAAAAGACATTGAGAAGTTGAGAAGATGATTCATTG